AAGTGCTCGTTGAGTCTCAACTGATCGCAAACCGTTTTGATCCGTCGTTTGGCGTTCATAAGAGTCACTTGTCTTGACTCACGTCCCGCTCCAAGAATGCCTCCAATACTATGGTATCAATGAATGGATGTATCAATGAATGGGTGAATGAGTGGTCAATTGGACGAAGAGTGAACCAAACCTGAATGACTTGAAGGCGGACTCCGTGTCATGTCTTTGTCCGATGATATGTGCGGACCCGTGAGTGCCCTCCGAGAAGAGCACTTCCGAGACGATGCAGTTCTGGTCGATCACGAAACCACATGAAGTGCAATACGTGTCGCCACGACTCGACTCAAACTCCACTTCATTGGACCCACAGTTACCACACGTGACCGTCGATGACATGATTGTGTCGACTGACTCGCAGTCAGATGGGTTCGGGTCTTATGTCTTGGAGTGGATGGATGTGATGGATGTGATGGATGTGACAGTCAAGTGATGTTTGCAGACAAACACAACACTCTCTACACGTTTCATAATCTACACTATCGGTCCCTTTTATTATACACAACAACTATTCGTACAGCATTAATGCTGCTTGTTTATAAAGGACCAAATTGTGGGCAAATGTACCTTTATATCATTTATACATGATTTGATGATACAGTTAGGGTTCTACTGCATGACATATGACATATGACATGGACATATGACATGGACATATATTATGGACCAATATGTCGCGTCCCTATCTGTCTTCATGACATATGTCAGACGTGTCGTTCAACTGAAACTGGACAAGGACAGATTTCCAATATATACGGTCATGAAATATGTCATATGCGTCATGAAAGCGTGTACAACGCTATGATAATACTGTACTGAGTCTACTGTAATAGTATCTAACACGCCAATTGAAATTTGCAAGTTGCAACATACAGTACAGAACTACTGCCATAATTTGCTAGTTGCCATCAATTCATAAGCAATAATTCATATAAGTTATAACATTATTAACTAAGTTATAATCAAATGTAATCTATACTATCAACTAAACTCATCCAAATGACAACTCTTGTCCAACAAACGGACATAACATGTTAGAGCAAGTGGTTTGATGTCAAATAATAACTGTTATTATATATTATATAACTTAGTCTTATATCACAGAATATTCTACAGTATACTCACGACTCGTATACCAGTAGAATATATGTGGTGTTATACTAACGATAATTGTCAAACCAATGCTTTATATATTTTTATATTCAATTGATGGTCTTAAGGGGAAAATACAATTAGTCGCTCATAAATTATATGATCATTATATAAAAAGACTCTAGGCCAAATTGGGCACCCATTGGTCAAGTGATTGTCTGTAGTGAGCTGTAAATGTACCAGGGTTTAACAGCTTGGTTGTTGTACATTACCTACC